GAGTAGAGACACATCACATTCATGGATCAGAAGACTGGTGTGCTGGAGATGTCAAAGTGTAGTATGTATCAGGTCATCCAGTGTGTATGCCAGTAAAGACGCAGGAAGCATAAACTGAGGTAGAGCGGGCTAGCTCCACAAGGTAACATTGTTTTCCTCGCCAGAAAAGACGCAGGAAGCATAAACTGAGATAGAGCGGGCTAGCTCCACAAGGTAACATTGTTTTCCTTGCTGTATACACATATCTGTTTACAAGCCTGATCCTACAACTAAACTGCTAGCTCTTTAGAAATCTCTTTCTGTGTCATTCTACTGAGCTAGTCTATCTTTCTCTTCAGCTCTTCCAAACACAAGAGGGCTTCTTAGCTGTCCTTCCTAGAATACTGTTGTGTTTGTTTGAACCTGTGTCCTGCCAGCTGCTTCTCTCTTATTCCTGCAAGACCAAAGAGAAAATCCCTATCTCTTACCCAGAGCGCCTTCCGCAAAGGTTCTTCCAAGCCAGAAAGGGGAGGGGGGGGGGGGGGAGAGAGAGAGAGAGAGAGAGAGAGAGAGAGAGAGAGAGAGGTCTGCAAGCTAAATCAGTAAGGCTCAGCCATTTCACCTTTTTGGTGGGGCAGCTCAAGGCCATCCAGCTGACTTCCTTGACTTCCTTTTCCCAAGCAACTTGTCTTAAAATAGGCAGGAACTTTCCTGTCTTTAACATTATTGTCTATGGAGGCTTTTAGAGGCACACCCAAACTGTATCTCTTTAGGACACACCTAACCACATCTGACATCCATTTAAGTGTTTCTATTTTGTTAACAATTAGGTTTCCTGTGTACAATAATCAAATACCCTGTAATATCAGAGGCTGGCCTAGAGATTCAAATAGTTGCAACCAAAATAGCCCCTCCCCTTTAAAAAAAAAAACGTGTTCATTCATTCTTTTTGAGTCAAAGTCTCACTGTGTAGCCCAGCCTGGTCTCAAACTGTGATCCTACTGCCTCCGCTTCCCAATGCTGGAATTATAGGCGTGTGCCCTGTGCCTGAATTCTCAACAAGACTGTGTGTGTGCAGCATGTGAATAAAGTAAGTGCAGAATTTAGATGGGAAGGTAGAGAAACTAGACTAGCCAAAACAATATAGTTAGAGAAACTTCCCTAGGTCAGTGGTTTCACCTGTGGGTCACAACCCCCACAGGGGTCACATTAGACATCCTCCATATCTGATATTTACACTATTCATGACAGTAGCAAAATTACAGTTAAGAAGTAGCAGTGAAATAATGTTATGGTTGGAGGTCACCGCAACATGAAGAACTGTATTAAAAGGTTGCAGCATTAAAAAGGTTGAGACCTCTGCTCTCTGTAAATTCAAGGCTCACTCTAACAAAACTGAAGAGATAAAATGTTCATCACAGAGTTGAACAGAGCAGAACAGAGTCCAGAAACACAGGAGGACCTTTTTGCAGAGGTGTGATGGTAGCAGCTCTCCAACAGGTGGTGTTGATGGCTAGGTATCCATTTGCCGGGGATCGTCAACCTACAGCTGCCTTCTACACAAATGAATTCAAAAGAGATCTCAGGTGTAGACTACGAACTGTAAAACTCCCAGTGAGCGGGAGGTCTTCATGGCCTGTTCTGCGTTAGAACTCTTGGATGTGACTCTCAAAATACAAACCAAGAAGGCTTGAGTGTTGGCACACGCCTTTAATCCTAGCACTTGGAAGGCAGAGGCAGTCAGATCTCTGTGAAGCCAGCCTGTTCTACAGAGCTAGTTCTAGGATAGCCAGAGCTACACAGAGAAACACTGACTTGGGGGTGTGGGGGTAGCCATAAACCATGAATCGAAGAAATTAATAAAATGGAAGACAAAAATTTAAGTTTATTTTAAGTTTATTTTACCAAAAACAATGAAACAAACTTGGGAAGACATTTTAAAATCATGTAGCCAAGAAAGGGCTCTACAAACTCAGTTGTTAGACAGCCCAATTTAAAAGGAGGCATAAAACGAAAACTTGCCAGAGAGGACCTGTAGGTAGCAAGTGAACGGATATTCAATATCATTAACTATCAGGAAAATGCAGACTACACCATGAGATCAGGCCTGCTTTAGAGTGAAGTACAGAACAGACAGATGATACCTAGCAATGACCACAGTGCTGTCCGCTTGAAATGCTTGCTGCTGGCAGGAGGGACTGACTACACTTGGCAATAGTACAGCTGCCCTAGAAGATGGTTTGGCAGTTTCTTCTAAAGCTAAACACCTAGAGGCTGGAGAGTGGCTTACCAGTTAAAAACCCTTGTTGCTCTTCCGGAGGACTTAAGTTTCTTTCCTGGCAGGGGTGTCCAGTGGCTTACCACACCTCAAGTTCTAACTCTCAAGGGAGCAGACACCCTATTCAGGCTTCCAGGAACACCCACACACATGGGGTGTTTGCTTACGTACACAAATATGTAAATTTAAAATAATAAAAAACCTATCCTATTTGAGATAGGGTCACTGTATAGGTCTGGCTGGCCTGCCCTTCAAATTCTGGGACTAATGTTTATACTATCACTCCTGGCCCAATAAAGAAATGTTAAAGAAAAAGCTAAACAACCATTTAGCTGGATATGGTGCTTCTTGTCTTCTGTACGTGTGTGTGTGTGTGTGTGTGTGTGTGGTGTGCCACAAGCTTGTCAGCCTTTCAGTAGATCTTTGTGACCTAGCAGCCTGAGCCCTAGATAGTTACCAAAAGAAAGGAAAAAGCTACACTCAGACAAAAGCATGAACATGGATATTTATAGCGGTTCTCCCAAATACCGAAGACTGTAGATAACGCAAATGTCCTTTGGAGGATGCTGAGATGCGCAGACTACTGTATTCAACAATGAGGAAGGAGAACTACAAATGCCTCAGGAAAGATGTGCAAGCTATCAGTGCACACAAACAACAGTGTGGCTGAATCTCAAGGACAGGATGCACGAAAGAAGCCGGCCTCTCAGGGCCACACACCACACACTTTGACAGATGCCATTCTTAAAAGGGAAAACCACAGGATGGAGAGCAGGCCAATGCAGCCGGCCTGTTGTGGGTGGAGCAACTTCCAGGATGTCAGCAGGGCATTCTGTGTCCTGGCTGGAGGTAGTTATACAGAGTCTAGAGTATCAGTGTGACTGCGTACCCACAGACAGAGATTTTACTACTTGATCATTTAAAATAAAGCTCCCACACCCTGCAGTAGTAGCTCTGGGGTACTAAGTACTGAACAAAAGCCTCGAACTAGATGTATGTGGCATAGAAGCAAGTATGATGGGAGGTACATCTGTCTAGTGACCTTCATCACTATGTAAATAAGCAGACGAAATTTGCCACACAAGTTAGCCAAAGATTTTCCGTAGCTGATTGGAGCAGCCAACTGCAGTGGTTTTATGCCCCCCCCCCTTTAATGTTTTTCAAGACAGGGCTTCTCTGTGTAGCCCTGGCTGTCTTGGAACTCAGACATCCACCTGCCTCTCCCAAGTGATGGGATTAAAGGCGTGTGCCACCACCACCCAGCTGTTTTACATCTTTTTTTTTTTTTAAGATCATTAAGACTGTTAAAGTTACAGCTGGTGGTCATAATTATTTAATATTTCAGTAAACCTTTCCAACCTTTTTTTTTTTTTCAGAGTATTTTACTTTGTCCATGTGTTTTTGCCTGCACATATCTATGTGTACCTCATAGAGATCTGCTGCCTGCCTTGCGCAGGTCCCTGCAGGACCTTTGAGATAGCCTTATAGAGAATGTTTGTGTCTTTGATACTATGTTCTCACAGTCTAGGCTTCAGATGCATAGGCAAGGTGTTTTGGGGAGCCTCCAGGACACTGACCTGGTCCTCACATTCATCCTTCCCAAGATACAGGATAGGAAATGAATATCTGAAGCCTCACTCAAGACCAGCTTCCCTGGCTGCTAGAAGAGCTACATCTCAAAGATGAGGGGCCCAACCACCTTTAATGCTATGAGCATGCCATGCTGAGAAGGAGCCTATCCCCAGTGGCTATGGGGTCAGGTCGTCCTGAGTCGTGCACCCATGAGGACATCCACTGTGCTGTACCCTATCACCGCATCACGCTTACTAATAAGGCTTACATTTCAAAAGAAAATACCGATGTTTAGGGGCCACCCCCAAGAACCTTACAAAAATGAGAGTTGGGATATGTAAGCCAAGACTTGGACTTGTGTGTGTGTGTGTTTATATGCACACGTGCGCATGTACACATGTGTTTGTGTAAGTCTCTGCAGTGATTAAGCAAAACATACTGGTTTGAGATCCAAAGCTGATGGGAAAGGATGAGAGTCAGTTATAGGCGAGAGAGATAGAATCAGGGTGCATTATGAATACACAGGGCAGTGACTCTGAGTCCACCATCCCAGAAGGCTTGCCCAACAAGATAAAGGGTGCGCATGGGGCTTCAAGCTAGAGCTTGAAGGAGACAGGACACAGGTGGAGGCCTCCAAACCAGGGAGTATGACAGACTGACTTGCAGGCTGGAGTTTCTGATGGCCAGGTCCAGGCTACCTTCCTGAGAACATGTGTGGGAATCTGTTTATAGCAGACAACCCAAGCTGTGCACCGGTCAGGCGTTGTGCTGTGGGGCATGCATTCCGCAGTTGGAACCGGTATCCAGAAGATTCCTTTATGTTGTACAATTAGAACCTCTGTGGGAGAAGTATGACTAAAGAGCTTCCTCTAAGCTGGGCTTATTCCTGTGTGTTGCATTAGCGTTGCTTGCTTTGTAGTACAGCTCTCTAAGTAGCCATGCTGAGCTTCCTACTCGGGAATGCTGCAGTTTTCAGGTTCCCAAGGGAACCAGTTTGTGGATGCACCATAAAACCAGAAAACATTCTTGTTAGTGTCCCTTCAGACAAACGTTGTTATTTCCCAGACATAACCATCTTGCGGGCTGCAGGCCTGCCTTTGCCCTTGTTGGAGAAGCAGGTGCAATGGGATCTGGGGAAGAAGGTGGTTTTCAGTTTCCTGATCTTTCCCAGGAGCAGCAGCCAAGCTGGACAGATGACCTGCCACTCTGTCACCTCTCCGGAGTTGGTTCAGCTTCCAACCGTAGCTACTCTGCTGATGGCAAAGGCACTGAGAGCCACCCTCCAGAGGACAACTGGCTCAAGTTCAGGTACGTGTGTTAGCATGACTGAACAGAGAAGGTGGGTTCATGAGCAAGAAAAGAGACTCTCTTGCCACCTCCATGTATGAGGCTTGCCTGTGAAGTGGGGCCTGTGGGAAGTGTCCGCTGCTATAGTCCTTTCCATGTCTTCTCAAGCCAGTGGCCTACTGTGGGACAGGGATGGAGGAGGCTGGACAGGGAAGACTCAGCAAACAGGTCATTTTTGTATTGAAATCATGGCCACAGTGTGGGGACTCCGATGAGTGCCTGAAGCCTTCTCTGCCTTTAGTCCCTCCCCAGTTCCTTTCCTACTTCCTCCACCACCTGCATGCTCCCAGTTTCAGCCCTCCCCCTGCCCTCCCTCTGCTAGAAGTGAAAACAACTGCTTCCTGTATGGGGTCTTCAATGGCTATGATGGCAACCGCGTGACCAACTTTGTGGCACAGAGGCTCTCTGCAGAGCTCCTGCTGGGCCAGCTCAACACTGAACACACTGAGGCTGATGTGCGACGGGTCCTGCTGCAGGTGAGAGGATTGGGTAGGTGCCAATGGCCTGGCTGGCTTGTATGTCCTTCATTCCTGAGAACTTGGGCCCTGCAGATCTAAGTGCAGACAGGGTGATCTGAAGACTGCCTGCTTCTTCATCCACTACCAAAGATCAGTTCTGGGTACATTTCATGATGGAAGGGGATCCTTGCTGACAGGAGTCCAGGACAGGCAGGGAGCAGCAGCTTTTCCATTGGTAGCAGGACTGACTTGGGAAAAGGCATCATGGGAACAGAGGCTCTGTGGAGATAAGGTTCTCGACAGTGACCCCTTCCTTTGCTTGAGCTGTCAGGAGTTGATTCTCCAGTGTGCGTGTTCTGGAACTATTCCCAGCCTGTTCTGTCCTATAACTCCCTGCTAGGGCTGTGGTTTTTTATTGATGTGCTGGGATTTCCTTCTACCCAGGAAGGCTTCTTAGTCTTTGAGAAATTGGTCCTAGACTTTTCTGTTCTCTGTGCTCCTAGACTGGAGCTTTGCAGAGGCTAGACCAGGAGGAAGCTTTCTCCTCCACCAGTATCCAGCAGGTCCTGACAAAGGCCTCTTGAGAAGAGGTTGCCATGCCCCTACGCTCAATGATGAAGCACTCCTGGACTGTCTCACTTCCCATGAACCCAAGTGAGCAGCACTGCTGTTCACACCCAGCGGTCTTGAGCACAGGGCCTGGCCCCTCCTCCTGCCTCCTCTCTCATTCCTCTGCATTAGTAGCACCCTTCTCCCATCCCACAGCTAAAGGTCTTTGTCAAACAGTAGTCAGAAAGGCCCACATAGGAGGCAGAAGTGATATGTGTCACCCGTCACACGAGGCCGTCCATGAATGCCATGGATTTGTTACTCTCCGTAGGGACATCTTAGCAGGAGGTGATGGTGGCATTTGAGCCAGCCCTTGCCTTGCCCTGTGTCTCTTCAGGCCTTCGATGTGGTGGAGAGGAGCTTCCTGGAGTCCATTGATGATGCCTTGGCAGAGAAAGCAAGCCTCCAGTCCCAGCTGCCGGAGGTGACCTACTGTCTGTACTAGCACTGCTGGTTGCAGTGCTCACCCTGTGTCACTTGCCGCCCATGGGCACAGCAAGGCTTGCAGCAGGAGTCATGAGGCAGCATCCTGACGGGCAGGCTGGGGTGGCAGTAGGTGTATTCCTGTAGAGACTCCAGCCCAGCAGTGGGCAGCTTTTCTCAGAGGCTCATCCTTAGATGACAGGGATAGGTGGAAGGAAAGGCCTTTTCAGGTTCTGTGATCTGATTTAGTCCAGACCATAGTCTCCTTCAGGCTGTCCCTTGTTAAAACAACAGTGACCTTCCTAGGGCATCCTACAGGTATACAGCCTGGCCACATCTTTGCTGGTCATCTGTCTGTCTTGGCTGCTCAGGGGCCTTACATGCTTTCTCTCAAGGGAAGGAGAGGGTTGGTAAGGTGGTCCTCAGGCACCCATGCTGCTCTGATCTCTTGATGATGGCTTGCAGGGTGTACCCCAACACCAGTTGCCACCTCAGTATCAGAAGATCCTTGAGAGACTCAAGGCCCTGGAGAGGGAGATTTCAGGAGGGGCCATGGCCGTTGTGGCGGTCCTTCTCAACAGCAAGCTCTACGTTGCCAACGTTGGTGAGCCACCACCTGCCCCAGACCAGTCTGCTTTCTGTCTGTGTGTACCCCAAGCTTCCCAGGGTGACTGGGCCTGCTCCTCCCCATTCTGTTGCCTATGTCAATCCCAGATGGAAGGACAGAGCGAGGCAAGTGGGTGTCTGGCTCGCCATGAGTGGCGTCTTCTTAATTACTTACGTGTATAGGTGTTTTGCCGACATGTATTGTCTCTACCACATGTGTGCCTGGTGCTTGCGGAGGCATCTGACTCCCCGGTACTGGAGTTACAGACTGTTGTGGGCCACCACATGGGCACATGGCATCCTTTGGAGGAGCAGCCAGTGCTCTTAACTGCCGAGCCATCTGTGTGTGTGTGTGTGTGTGTGTGTGTGTGTGTGTGTGTGTGTGTTGTCTCTGCACATAGCAGGGCTGGCATATGAGGCAAGAAGAAAATCCAGTTCAGCATGATTTAGTAGCTGGCATTGGTTCAGACTTCTAGAGCAGCAGTTCTCAACCCTTTGGAGATCAAATGACCTTTTCACAGGGGTCACCTAAGACTGTCAAAAAACATGGATGTTTATATTACGACTCATAACAGTAGCAAAATCACAGCTCTTTGGTAGCAACAAAAATACTTTTATAGTGGGGGGCCACCACCTGAGGCACTGTATTAAAAAGTGGGAGCATTGGGAAGGTTGAGAGCCACTAGTGTAGAGTCTGACAGCAGGCAGTTTATTTTAGGCTGATAGTACAATTTGGAGTAAGTTTCCAGGTATCACAAGTCCATGGACACAGTAAGACAGAACTGCACCAACACTCTAGTTTCTTTGCTTTGCTTTTTTAAGACAAGGTCTCTCTGCATAGCTCTGGCTGTCTTGGAACTCACTCTTTAGATCAGGCTGTCCATGAAGTTGCAGAGATCCCCCTCCCTCTGCCTCCTGACTGCTGGGTTCCAAGGCCTGTGCCACCATACCCAGAGAAGCTCTTCAAAGTACATGTCACTTCTTTCATGAAGATGGGTTTTATAGATAAACCACATGTATTAAGATCGTAAGGCCTTAGGGAAGGATCTGGTGTGTCTTGAGGTCAAGTAGGCTGTTAACCACCTCCACTCCCAGTCCTCTGGGTGAAAAACAGCTTGTGTGCCTCTCTTTGAGAGACAGCCCTGCATGTTCAACATTTGAGGTTTCCTAGTGCTTATCTGTGGGCACAAGGGCCTCTGTGTGCCCAACATCTGCAGCCCCATGGCTTCTTCCTTTGAAAGAAATTCCTTGGAGTGAAGGCCTGCTCTGCATTCTTAAAAACAGCAGGAAGCTGGGTGATGGGGACACTTAGATTTAATGCCAAAGGAGGGGTCCATCAGGGACTCAAGAACCTGAACGTGATACATGTCACTATGAGGAATCAGTAGCTGGCCACTCATGGTGTCCCTGACTCCCTTCCTCCTCTTAAGATTTTCTTAGAATCAACTTGGGAAGCATCGAACAGCTGATAAATCGTGCATGCCCCGCGCTAGCCCAGACACTTTCTGTCCTGTAGCAGGCTTGCTTCATCCAGAGCCCCATATTCACAAATTATTTCAAAGCCACCACAGACATTGTACCAAGAGAATCTGAAGATTTGGTATGGACCCCTGGGGAAAAGTCTATTACTAAACTCAGTCCTGTGATCATACTGTAGCCTGAAGCCTGCTTCCCTGCTGAGGGGACTGTCCTTGCCTGGTGATTTACCCGTGCTCTGAACCCCTTGGTGTGTGTGACACCTGTTTGTCTTTTCTGTTGTGTCAGTGGCTCCTGTTCCTCCCTCTGCTTAATCTTGGTCAAATTTTGCTGCAGGTACGAACAGGGCCCTTCTGTGCAAATCTACAGTGGATGGGTTACAGGTCACCCAGCTGAACATGGACCACACCACCGAGAATGAGGACGAGCTCTTCCGTCTGTCACAGCTGGGTGGGTAGAGAGGCTGGGCAAGGGACCTATGGAAATGGGGAGGTTGTTCCCTGGGCTCCCTCTGGTCCCTCTGGTAGCTGGGTGAAGGAAGTACAGGCTGAAGTACTGGGCCTGTAGCCAGAGCTGGATCTGTTGCTGGACAGTTGTGACTTGGGAAATTCTTCGTCTGTGTGGTGTGGGTAGTGAACCCCCTTCAGAGAGTTAATGTGTGTAGACTACTTTCCAGAGAAATACCTGGCACATACTAGGCACATGTCCCTGTTCCTGACAGAGACCAAGAGAACAGAGAAGTTCTGCAATCCCAGTGTCTCTGGTGCCTTTCCTTCTCTTCCAGCTCTGCAGACACTGCTGCCTCCTGAGCTCTGGGCACAGGCAGACAGGACTGTGCAGGCTAGTGCTGCCGTGCCTGAAGGGAGAGGCCTGTTATAGTTACTTTCCTCATTGCTGTAACCAGATCCCCGACAGAAGTACCTGAGGACAGGAAAGGGTTTTTTTTTGTTGTTGTTGTTCTGTTTTTTTGGCTCATGCTTTAAAAGCTGTAACCATCCGTCATGACAGGGAAGCATGGTAGCTGAGCCTCCACTGGTGGTGGTAGCATTTTATGACAGCTAATTACTAAATCTTAGCAAATTAGGAAGAGAAGTACCAGAAGCTTGTTGGTCTACACCTTTCAAAGTTCACTGTACAGTCCTACTTCCAGCCAGACCCCGTATTCAAAAGGTCCCAAAGCAGCACTGCCAACTAGGAACGAAATGTTCAGACACACGAGCCCATGAGGACATGCTACCTTCAGACCATAGCAGGGCCTGAGTGAGGGATGTTCTGTTAAGGATGGGGGGCTGAGAACATGGGACACCTGAGTTGTCCTCTGTGGTACACTGGTACTGTGTGCATTTCCTGTTATTTTGCCCTCACTTACCATGTGCACGGATGTCACAGCCACATCTCCTTTAAACTCTTCACTGAGGAAAAGTGGGCTGACCACCTTGTCCTCTCTCTGTAGGTTTAGACACAGGAAAGATCAAGCAGGTGGGTGTCATCTGTGGACAGGAGAGCACCAGGAGAATTGGGGATTACAAGGTTAAATATGGCTACACTGACGTTGACCTGCTCAGGTAGGTGGCCATCTCTGCAGCCCTAGCCGTTTGTAAGACCGGAGGACCTCGGTTAGAAGCAGACACCCGGCTGCAGTGGCAGGGTTACCATTGAAAGCCCAGGCCCAGTGGGATACTGCCTGCCTCCCGAGAGCTAGGGGTGGAGTAGGGCCTAGGTCAGCAGTCTGGTCCTGTCAGCTAGGCCCACAAGGGTCAAGGAGGGAATTGACCAAGTCCAGGAAGCTAAAGTGCCACAGAGCCTGGCTGGAGGGTCCAGTGATGGCATGAGGTGCCAGAATGGACAGGAACTGATGGGTCCAATGTTTCGTTAGTTCTTGCCTTTCACTTAGCCAGGTGGAGCTGGGGGTGAATCATCGGTTTCCCTCCATGGCCCTTCCCTATGCATGCACCCAAGTCCCCACGGCAGTCACAGTTCTGGTGAGCCTTTGTTGTACCTGGAGTGCTCACTCCTAATGCATGGCCTTTTATCCGCCCCTTATTCAGGCCCTCTAAACTAGCTGCTGTCACTGTCACTGGACAGGCATGTCCATGAAAGGAAACTGAGACATGGAGACGTTCAGGAGTCTGGCCAGTCATAGTGCAGGTGATGGACCCAGGCATCCTTAATTTAGAACACGTGTCCTTTACCGCTGTCTAGCTTGGGTGGGGACATCTCATGAGTGCCTATGTGGTGCCAGTATCGTGTCACAGCCAGAGACATCCTCAGCAGGGGCCCGGCCCAGTTAAGTTAGCATTCCTTCCCCTCCCAGAGTCTGAACATCCAGTACTTAAGAGCTTTGTCTCTAATTTGCACGGTTCAGTTTACTTTATTGGGTAGGAGGTCTGTGACAGAGCACTTCAGAAAGGGTACACACAGCCTTCTATCTCAAGCCAGACCTCCCTCACACCGAGGCTGCTAGGCCCATATGTGTCCCCAGGTGTCTTTGCACACGCATATGCACTGTGTGCTTGTGTGTGTTGTGGGAGTTGAGGTGCATCCACAAACTCCTCTGGCTCCTCCCCCTCTCTTCTCTAAGCCACCTTATTAACATCGGACTGTTGAAAGACTGCTCCTCTAACAGGAGCAGTTAGGTGTGGTTGGACAGGTCACGAGGCATCTGATTTCACGAGTGGAGTCTGTCCCTCCACCCTTGCACACCTGCCCTGAGCGACTGTCCTGCCTTATAATAAACACCATGATTACAGCAGACAGTTGTGTCAGCATCTGCCTGAGCAGCCCCAAGAGAATGGCTCAGCGAGTTTCCAGGCTTCCCTCCTCAGTCTCTTGTCAAGAGTGTCCTCACAGGGCATGTGCACTGGAGTTTTTGACATTTAATGACTGGTACACATCCACCCTGATCCCATGCAGACTGTACTGTGTGGGATCTTAATTGGAAGAGACTTCCATCTTGTCCAAGTTATGGCAAGAGGATGAGCTTTTGTTTATTTTTAAATTAAAGAGGCCGTTACTAGTAACCCAGACTGAGACCTCTGTTGTCTTTCTTTGAACTTCTCGTCCTCCTGGCACAGCTGCCTCAAGCACTGGGAAGATAGGCATCATCATATCACCCATCTGGCATACTGGCTCCCGTATGTCATCTGTGACATCCTTGTAAGATGGTGTCCTGGCCAGGTGTAGTGGTGGTACAAGTTTGCCATCCGGCGTTTGAAAGGTAGAGGCAGGAGTATCAGGAGCCCACGGTTACCCACAGTTACATAGTTGTGGATCAGTGGAGCCACATGAGACCTTATCAATGACTAAACAAATAGTAACAGCCTTCCTGATGTCCCATCTGACCGGCTGTGCCAGGAAGTACAGGGTAGAGCCTGGATCTGGCATCTGACCGACCTCATGACCCTGGGCTTTACTTTAGTGGCTGACCTCAGAAGACTGGTCTAGTCTGCTTTTCTCTTTCCTTCTGTCTCTTTCCCTCTTAGCAAGTCAGGTGTTTTATTTTTAATGTTCTGAGTGTAGATTCTTACCCTCAGCAGAAGCAATACCCCCTCCCCAGGGGGGGTGCTTTTCCACACAAAGCCCTCCCTCCCTTCTCTCTCTCATAGCGCTGCCAAATCCAAACCCATCATCGCAGAACCTGAAATCCATGGTGCACAGCCTCTGGATGGCGTGACAGGCTTCCTGGTGCTGATGTCAGAGGGCCTGTATAAAGCCCTGGAGGCAGCCCATGGGCCTGGGCAGGCCAACCAGGTGAGCTGAGGAGGACCTGGCAGGTGGCTGGAGCCCTGATTCTCAGATGCTGTCACCAGACTTCATTTTAGGGCTCAAAGTCAGGGCCTGAAGCAGAAAGGGGAATTGGGAACTGCACTGCCCTGGGGCTGCAGGGAAGGGCTGTGACCTGCTGCTCACAGCAGAGCCCATGTGCAGGCTCCTTCCCCTTCCTACTGGGGCCTCCGGCTATCTCCTCTGTGGCAGATTCTCCCTCTGAGGATTATGGAGAGGTTAAGTGTGAGAGGATACAATTCTTCAACCAGTGGAGCCCCTTGATTTTCTACAACTTAGAGCTACCAGATAGACAGTAGCCATCAAAGTGATTTCCAGGGGTGTTCTGCTTACTGAGGCTGCTGGGCAAGTGCTCTACCAGGAGATTATACCCACAGGTCCTATTCTATCTTCATGTTTTGAGAAAAGCAGTTGCCTGGGCTAGGTTCGAACTTGCTGTGTAATCCAGGTAGGCCTCAGGCATAGCATCCTCTTGCCCCAGCATCTCAGGCCGTGCCACAGTGCTTGGCTAGCATTTGAAGGGTAGCTGCCTGTACCTTGGGCTGCTGTGTGACCAAGTTTAGGTATGTCCATCTTTTTAGATGTGGTTCTTGTACGTATAAGAAGGTAATCTTTTTCTGGTTTTCTTTCTTTTTTTCTTTTTGATGGAGTCTTGCTCTGTAGCCTACACTAGCTTGAAACTTACGAGATAGTCCAGGCTGGCCTTAAATTTGGAAGTCTTCTGCCTCTTCCTCCTCAGTGCTGGCATTACAGGTGTGTGCCCTAGCACTCAGCTCTGCCTCCCCCTCTTAGTAAAGCCTGGCTGTCACCTGACTCCTGTGTTCAAGGCTTCCCACCCATTTTATTTTATCCTTCATTCCAGCAGCCTGGAGCATAGAGGGCCCAGTGGTTACTTCTTCACGGAGGTCTAGGGTCCTGTGTCAGGCAGTATGGCTGCTAGCCACAGGCCAAGCTTGTGCACTGGGTCCAGGTTCTTCCCCCTTCTTCTCCCCTGGGCTCCTGCTTCCAGGAACTACAGCCAGTGCTCAGGTAGAGACTTGAGTTTGTACTTTTGATCTTTTTGGTTTGTTTGTTCTTTTTTCTTTGAGACAGGTTCTTACTCTGGATGGCCTGGCACTTGCAGTGATCCCCCTGCCTCTGCCTCTTGAGTATTGGGGTACAAATATGCACCACCACACTTGGCTGGGCTTTTGATCCCTCAGTGTGGGTTTGTTTTTGTTTTTTCTTTCTTTTTTTGGTCTTCACAGTAAAAGCATCTACTAGGTTTTAGAATACACCAGACACAGGACTTCTTGGAGGGCAGTTCCAGGCAAAATGCCTTGCATTTAGCACAGATGTTTTATCCAGGGAAGAGGCACAACCATAGCCATGTGTTATGTAAATCCTGGTGACAACCCACTGAGGTGGATATAACCTACTTAGAGGTGTGGAAGCCAGTAGAGAGATCACAAAGTCCCACACCTTTTCTAATCAGCGCGTTCCAGAAGGATTGTCCCGAACAGCTTGGAAAGCTCAGGTTGCAGTTGACTGGCAGAGACGTCCTTCAGCTGCTGGGCTAATGATCTCTAAGTCCCCTACACAGGGCTCTGGAACTTTAGCCCCTCCCCCCAGTCACCCTGATTCCTTATCATGTCCTCCCTCCATACCCCAGGAGATTGCTGCAATGATTGACACCGAGTTTGCCAAGCAGACCTCCCTGGATGCGGTTGCCCAGGCTGTGGTAGACCGCGTAAAGCGTATTCACAGTGACACCTTTGCCAGTGGTGGGGAGCGTGCCAAGTTCTGCCCACGGCATGAAGACATGACCCTGCTGGTGAGGAACTTTGGCTATCCATTGGGTGAAATGAGCCAGCCTACACCAACCCCAGCTCCAGGTATGTACGCTATGTACTATACAGGCGGGAGCACCTGAGGTGAGTCCTGGGCTGGAGGCAGCACAGAATGGCTGATAACATGAGCTCCATGCTTACAGTGCAGGTGGAGCCAGGGCTTGCTCAGCACAGGCCATCAGAGTCAGACTGAGCTGCAAGCCTTGTTCCGTTTGTCTGTGAAGTAAGGCTCACTTGCCCTAGCCACCCTTGGGCAGGTGGTAGAAGTGGCAGCTGCCACCATTGATGGTGGAGTCCCTCCTAGCCTGTGGCCAGTGTGGTCACTTCTCATCCTTACTAGCAACCCTAACAGGAAGAAGAAAGGCTCTAACATTCAGGGACCTGGATGAGGTCAGGTGTAGGACAGATGGCCCACCCCAGAACCTGGCACTGAGTCTGACCATTTGGGGCTGTGGAGACATTTCACTCCTTCCCTTTTTCCTTTTTAGTCCTTGAATCAAGCTGCTTGGGCAGTGGTGAGGCCTGTACTGGTTCCAAGGGCTGCATTTCCTTTTCTGTTTTTAAACAAACAAACCGTGGAGCTCCTGCCTCCCATTGATCTCCCATGGATGCTGGGGAACTGGAGTCCCTCTGGCCTATTGCAACCATATTTTCAGTGGGCCTGCTTCAACAAGAAACAGTCTACCCTCTGTATTAAGGTGTCCATGCATCCAAAGCCGTGCAGTAACTCTTTCTCTGAGCCCATCCAGCATTTTATTCCACTTCCGCCTTGATCCCCAGTGGGCTTCCTTGCTGGAGGGAGGTCCCACTGCTGTTCTGGAAGAGACTCTACCAAGGGACATCTTCCCTGGGCCACCCCGAGGGTGGAGGGCCACAGTGTAGCTTAGGGGCCTCTCAGCCCTCCCGTAGCCTTTGTCACTCAAGAGTAGTCTTGAGCTTACTACCTTGGTTTCCTCCACACTGATTTCCCCTCCTCCTGATTGCTCTCTCCTGTTGCAGGGGGCCGTGTGTACCCTGTTTCTGTGCCCTACTCAAGTGCCCAGAGCACCAGCAAGACCAGTGTGACTCTGTCCCTCGTCATGCCTTCTCAGGGCCAGATGGTCAACGGCTCTCACAGTGCCTCCACCCTGGATGAAGCCACTCCCACCCTCACTAAGTAAGCTGTCCTACTCTAGAGACAGTCCTGGGTACCTGGACAGGAACAGCTGTACAACCAAGTCCTAGGGCTCAGTGGGGCGGGCTGAGAGAGGCCCTGGGGTCTGGGGACTCTGGGGTCTTTGGCCTCCAATTCTCTACCCTCACTTTTGGGGTAAGGAGTCTTATTAGACACAGGTAGAAAGGAGTGTTAGCATTAGTTCTAGCAGATACTGAACTGGACCTGAGCCAGTGGAGGCTCAGGGCACGGTGGACAAGGGGCCCGAGAAAGGAGCAAGGCAGCTACTGATGTCTCAGCTTTCATCCACACAGCTTCTCTTTTGGTTTTCTTCTGTTTTGGAGCTTGTAACATGGGGTCACTGGCTTCACGCATTTGTAGTTGGGGAGCATTGCCTCGCCTGCACTGGGTCCTCAGAGCCGCTGCTCTCTCACTATGACGTGCCCTTGCTGTCTGCTGTCTAGTTTAAGGGGCACTGGGTGTGGAGGTCATGACCCGAGAGGAGGGGTACGTTGCAGACCTGCCTGGCAGGTCTTTTGTCCACCTGCCTCCTTCATTTCTGTGACTATGTACTCTGCCCCCACCCCACCTCTTGGGGGGGGGATCACGTTTCCACATTCCAGCCCTGCACTAATGGAATAATACAGCTGCCACACCCAGCCCCTCTACACATAGAGCTTAGCCGGATGTGGCCAATTAGAAGGGCTGGCAGGGAGGGAGTGTCCCTGTTTTCCTCTGCGTCTCCCTCTGCCTCTTCAGAGGGCCTCCATCTGTCCCCAAGTCTTTGCTGCTGCTGTTCCTGCCACCACCTCTGGATGGAAAGGCCTGGTAGACATCTGGCCATCATGGGTAGCCGTGTGTTGTCCCCAGCACAATCAGCAGAGCCTTCCCTCCCCACCAGGCTTCCCCAGGAAACCACCAGCTGTGTCCACAAAGCCAATCAGGCAAACTTCATGCGTCTCAGTCTGCCTGCCTGAGCCTCACAGATCTCCTCCCTGGCTCTGAGCCTTATTCTGTCACCTAGGTCAGCCTGTCTTTAAAAACATCTCACCCAGCTGGCTTCTCTAGGATATTGGCAGAGAGGCCTGAGCCTAAAGGGCCACTCTTTTTACGGGGTGGGAAGTTGAGGGCCCCTGATGCAGCTACCTCAGACTGATTCCTTCCCTCTTCTTCTGTAGCCAGAGCCCCACTCTGACCCTGCAGTCCACCAACACACACACCCAGAGCAGCAGCTCCAGTTCTGATGGGGGCCTCTTCCGCTCCAGACCAGCTCACTCACTTCCACCTGGAGAGGATGGCCGTGTTGAGCCCTATGTGGACTTTGCTGAGTTTTACCGACTCTGGAGCGTGGACCACGGCGAGCAGAATGTGATGACGGCACCTTAGTCTGGCCTCAGAGTGCAGCCTTGGCACAACTTTGTGTAGACACAGAGGGCTAGTGCCAAAGCAAGACGAGCTTCTTGACCTTTGCAGGTGCCATGGAACCCGTGGGCAGTGACTCACTGATGTGCTGCAGGTTCAACCCCCAGCCCTTGGCTGTAGCCTGAGTACAGACTGGATTGCTGGTCCACACAGGAAGCTGGAGTCCAGACCACAGGCATCCTTAGATGGGGCCAAATGAGAAAGCTGCAGGTGGCTTACAAACCAGCAAGAGTGACTCGTGACATGTTCAAAAGAATAGCAAGAAGCCGTCCTGTGGACGGCTACCCCAACTACCACAGGCTAGATAGACACTGCTCCCTCGAGACTGCTCTACCTGCCTTAACTTCCCCTGGAATAGCTGTGGCCTCTTCTAGTGCCCTTTACCTCTGGGTGGTCATCCCCTTCCCATCTTTCAGCCCAAACTCCTAGATCCAGAGCCGAGAGTAATGGGAGTGATAGGGGTTGGGGATTTAGCTCAGAAGGCCCTGGGTTCGGTCCTCAGCTCTTGGGGGTGGGGGAAGATAATAGTGGGAGTGGCTGCCTGTCACTGGATGTCACTGGAAAAGTCCAGAGAAGCAGAGGGGCCTGTAGTAGCCACGGGGGAGCAGGACAAGGAAGGACCAGAGAGAGCTGGCCAAGGAATGTTAGTCCTGGGCTGCAAGTCAGCCAGCTGGCAGCTGAGGTAACTCAGAGAGCTGGCTTCCCAATGGGCTGCAAATGGTAGGCCAGGCCCACCAAGTAGCCGCAATTCTGCTTCTAGACCCTGCCCTGGGTTGGGGCAGGCCAAATCTGAAGCCAGTGCCTTCCTCCCAGCTGGTACTGGGAAGGCAGTGATAGGGAGTGCTGAGCCAACAGCCTTCACTCTGATGAGGAAGCTGCTTGGCTCTGGGCTCTCCTGAGGGAGGAGTGGGAGATGGCTGTGAGAGGGAGGAGGTTGAGTCTTGCCCACCCAGAAGACCAAGGGCATCAGGTGTGATGATGCGGACATACAGGGGAAAGATTGTACTGGTCAGGCCCGGACTGGGACCTGTTCACACATGTTTTCTACCTTCAGACAGGAGGGTTACCACGGCTACCTGCAGTGTGCCCACCCCTGTGCCCAGAGGAGGAAGCAGGCCGGGTGCTCCATGTACCTGAGCCCTTCCATCAGGATTGGAGTCCAAGCTCAAATCTGTAGCCTTGTACCTGGTGTTCTGCAACCCTTTCCCCACTGTATGCAGCTGCTGGGCAGGGTGCCCAGGGTGTCCTGTTGGCAAAGGCCAGCTCAGAGCACTTCTCAGATCCATTTCCCTAAAGTGAGGCTGTTTGCTCAGTGCTGGGGTGGTGGGGAGAAGTCACCTCTGCCCTGCAGGTGAGCAGCTGTCAGCTGATGCACAAAGACTTGGGGCAAAAGAGGTCCTCCCCCCAGGAATGTGGTGCTGTTTGGTCTCTAGAAATAGAACCATGTTCTTAATGCAGTAAAGATGTCATGTGTCATCTTGTCTGTCTGTCACCCAAGCACCCAAGAGGTGGTTGCCTCCTGTTCTACTCAGGAGATTTGATAACCAGGCCTGCCAGACTGGTAAGTGCCAGTGCTGGGATTTGAACTTGAACCATCTTAGCTGCAGATACTACTGCCCTCACCTGCTGAGCATGCGTTTTGCCACAGGCTTGCTGTCTGAGCTAAAGAGGGCAGTGCTACTCTGCTCCTCGGGGAGTGAATCCAGGGATCAGGGTGGGGTGGTAACTGCATGAGGCTTGGGTCACAAGTCAGGGACCTTGCCCCTCCACATCCTGTCCCCTACCCCTGCCCCCCGCTGGTTGGTTTTATTTGGTTGAAAGATCTCTTTAGCATGCCTCTTCTTTCTCATCTGAGGACTTTACTCATCCCTCTTTGGATCACCTGCATACAGGCTAAAAAGCTGTCGGCTTAGAAACAAAGCTGGGCTCTGTCCTCTATGGTCCCAGGGTCCCCACATCCTCTCCTCTGCTGGGCGGAGGCTTTTAGCACAGGGCTCTATGTGCAGAGCCACCTATCAGGTCTGCTACCCTCATCCACTTTCCCCTCAGGTGTCCCGAGGACTGCTGTGGCCCTCAGCTCCCGCCATGAAGACAGTAGACCTGCTATTCAGAGCCTGCTTTGTCCACAGGCGGAGGCACTGCACTCACTTGTGGCACGTGACCCTGACTTTACCCCTTAGTCCATGTGAACCTGTCCCGTGGAGGCGGAGGTGGAATATGTTCTGTCAAGGCCCAGGCTCCTCTTGCTGGGAGATGGCTTGGGGCAGACTAGAAGAGTTTGCGAGTCTTTAAACTTCAGGAGGGCTCAGTGTTAAGACCAAAAAATCTCCCAAAAGCTAGGCAGAGAGAGAGCAGTGTGACAGCCAGATAGGCAAATGGCCAGTGCTGGGCTAGGGTCCTCCTCCCTTTCCGCCTTACCTTTCCCAAGGCTAGATCAGACAGGGAAGCTCACAGTGTCAGTCCTTTGTACCTTCCCAGCACTCGGTCCCAGGCTTAACTGAGCACCTGCTTGAATGAGACCAGTTGGAGCCAGTGTGTCCCTGGGCCCAGTCAGATCCTTAAGGAGCCCTTGGCTATCACTAGGCTTCCTGTGGGCAGGCCTGGCTTCCGGTTCTCTCACTAGCCTGTAGACTCCCTCAGATGGTCTTGTTGACATGGGTGGCAGTGGTCACAGACATGCCTGGATTCCATCTACTGACTTGAAAGGAAAACAGTTGTGTCCTTAGCACTCTGGATGCCTTGTCGCATGGGGTTCAGCATAAATGCCAACTCCTGGGGGAGGCCTGTCCCACCCTGCGCTGCCTACCTACTCAGCTTTCATGCATAACTTCATTGATATGCTTAGCTGCTCTAAGGTCAGTGCTCAGCATACAGTGGTCCCCCACAGGGGTTAAGCAACTAGAGCAAATGGAGGGACGGTTGTGTGACCTTGGGCAGGCATTGGAGATGAGTCTTGGTGGTTTTGTTTTTTTGGTTTTTTTTTTGTTTTTTGTTTTTGTCTTCCAAATGAGGTAAGGATGGCTTCCTAATAAGATTGTCTAATTAAGATGGGTAGTCTTACAGCAAGAGGTAAGTCCATACCCTGTCATGCAATGCCACATGGGCCAGGAACAGGTCACAAGAGTATCAGACAAGGTCTACCATGTGCCAAACCTAGACACCATGTCTAGTGGCAGCTCAGCCAGACCTGTCACCTGAACAGGTGCTAGGCCAGTACCACCTGCAGTTTCATCTAGGGGCCCAGACACAGGGCAGTGGCTTCTAAGCTGAAGTCCAGATGGATGCCTTTGGCCAGGCTCCCAAATCTTCCCGATGACACAGGAATCTCACGATTCTTCCTTCTGGGTCCCTATTTGGAAACTAAACAAGAACACATCACTGCCAGCACCCCCACCCCACCCCCACCCCCTCCAGGCTCAGCACGAGCATGCGCTTTGTTCCCACGCAGAGGTGACGCCAGCTTAGAGTGCAGACAAGCTCCTGACATTTCAACAAGCATGGGTGGCCTCCTGGAGGACAGACTGCCCGGCAGTAGCACTGTTACCCATTTCTGCTTTTGAAGACTGCCTGAGCTGGTTTCCTTTCTTACTGTGTTGGTCTGGAGGCTCTGGCAGGGCGGGAATGGGACTTAGAACCTGTGTCTGTCTTCTCCACCCGCTGTGATGGAAGCTCCTCCTGCTCTTCTCACTTCAGTCACCCTGTGGTCCAAAGAGTGCTGAACTCAACCTTCCCAGCACCTGCTGTGTGAGTGTCTGTCAGCCTGCTGGTCCCTCCCAGCCCTGAGAAGTGCTCCACACAGTCAGCCTAGGAGCAACCTGGAAGTATTTAAGAAATGTCAGATGATGGAATGAGAGAGAAGGCTCAGTGGTTAAGAACGCTGGCTGCTCTTCCAGAAGACACGAGTTTGATCACCAGCACCCACATGGCAGGTCACAACCATCTGTAAATCCAGTTCCAGGGTATCCAATCCCATTTTCTGACATCCTTAGGCACCAGACATATATGCACAGATCTGCACGCCAACAAAACGCCCATACTTATAACTATTTTTTAAAAGCCAGGCTTGGTGAAGCATGCCTTTAATATCAGAACTCAGGAGGCAGAGATGGATCGCTCTTAGTTCAAGACCAACCTGGTGTACATAGTGGCATAAATAGTTCCAAAACAACTAGGTCTGCATAGAGAGACCTTGTCTCAAAATATTTCCTGAACCCCCCAAAAACATCAGGTGAGGCCTGGAGAGATGGCTTAGCATCTCTTCCAGAAGAATCAAGTTTAGTTCCCAGCACCTACATCAAACAGCTCACAACTACCAGTAACTTCAGCTCCGGGAAATCCAATGCCCTATTCTGGCTTCTCAAGGTGCTACCTTCCCCACAGACATATATAAATAAACATTTAAAATAAATATTTTAAAATGCCAGATAGCTAGGTGTAGTGGTGCATGCCTTTAATGCCTGAACTTGGGAGACTGAAGCAGGCAGATTTCTGAGTTTGAGGCCAGCCTGGTCTACATAGCGAGCTCCAGGCCAACCAAACCTACATAATAAGACCGCTTTTAAAAGATAAAGTGACAGCTGTAGACAAAAGCACAAACTATCTAGAGCCAACCTCTCAAAATGTAGCTGCTGCAAATACCTACAGAAAATTGCTAAACCCTGCCAAGAGTTTGGGGCTTGGTGGTAAATGAGATGCTTCATGAGTTTTTCTAATTATTTTCACATTTGTTTGCGTGTATGTGTGTGGATGCATACATGCTACAGCACACATGTGGAGGTCAGAGGAGAACTTGTGTGAGTCAGTTCTGTACTTCCATCATGTGAGTCCTAAGGGCTAAACTCTGATGGTCAAGATTGGCAACACCCTGCCAAGCCTTCTCTCCGACCTCTCGAGAAACAGAAAGTCTCTTTGAGTAAATTGATGTGCCCAGATGAACTCTTTGCTAACCCTAGAGGTTAGCAGACTAAACCCATTCTTACACTCCCCAACCCTACCCCACCACGGCCTATGATGCCCAAGACTGCGGGACCCCGGTGATCTCAATCAAATGCCTGTGTTTCTGGTGGCTGCTAGGAGCTTACATACTCAGGTCAAAGCTGGGTGAGGGATGAGGTGGACATTCAGGCTGATGTCAGAAGACTGCCTCACAGCTGCCTATGGACGTTAAAAGGGATTGTCTGTGGTAGGTGGGACATGAGCAGGTGCATACCAGCTGGCGTTAACTGGAGAGAGAGGCTTGTGATGTTGGCCCCAGCCTAACTGCACACAGCCAAGTCCTTTGGCAACCAAGAGGAGGTGGTTGTTAAAAATACAGGTTTCCTGGCTCTACTTTGGACATGCAAAGCAAACAGAGAGGACGGTGCTGTTTCAGGGAGACCCATGAGCATCTGCAGGTATATAAGAAGGACGAGCAGACAAGTGCCTGCCATCTTGGTTTGGTGCTCAGGATTTCTTCATCTAGATGCCTCTGGGTGATCTTGGATAATGCACAAGAACCTCAGTGATTGCCATCTTTAAAGGAAGATAAGGGACAGAATGAAGGTAAGGCAATACACCCCTGGAATCTCAGGAAACTAGCCAAGTCACAAGGACCTCAGATTTGAGACCAGTCTACGTTATATAGCGAAACCCTGAGGAAAATAAAAATAGGAGGTAAGGACGCAGCTTAGTTGATGGTGTGTTTGCCTAGTGTGCACAAAGCCATGGGTTCAAACCTCAGCATCTCATAAAACAGCACCCAAGGGGTGGGGAGTAGGAGGATCAGACTGTGAAAATTGTCCTTGGCTGTACATCAAGTTCAAGGTCAGCCTGATTGAATTAATGCGATCAGTGTGATGGCTCAGCAGGTGGAGGTGCCTGCTGGCAAGTCTGACTGCCTAAGTTTGATCAATGGGACCTATACAGTGAAGAAAGGAACCAACTCTGGACAGGTTCTTCACACATCAAAGAGATAATAATAATAATAATAATAATAGGATTGTGGATAGAATTCAGTGGTAATATAGTGCTTGTCTATGTGCAAGGCCCTGGGTTCAATCCCAGGTCCCACAAAAATAAATGCTTGCTAGGTGTGGTGGTACCCATCTTTCATTCCAGCACTCAGAGGAGGCAGAGGCAGGCAGATATCTGTGAGTTTGAGGCCAGCCTGGTCTACAGAATGAGTCCCAGGACTGCCAGGGCTATTACAGAGAAGCCCTATCTTGAAAAACGAACAACAAAACCCCCTAAATGCTTGCTAAGAGTTCACCTTCCTCACTGAGCCCCTTCCTCTGTAGAAATTTGGGTTCACAGTCCTCAGCCCAGATGTTTCAGGGTTCTTCAAAGGAGACAGCCTAAAGAGGAGGAGGTGGAAGAGAGGAAAGGAATGGGGTGTGTCACTCCTTTGCTGCATAGTGCCTCTCTCTCTCCCCCCCCCCTCTTTCTCCCTTTCTGTTTCTCTCTCTCTCTCTCTCTCTCTCTCTCTCTCTCTCTGTGTGTGTGTGTGTATGTGTGTGTGTTTTGTTTGTTTTTGTGGACTCCAGGCTCTCAGGACAGCTTAGAAAGTTCTCATGGATGTTGGTGTCTAGGGAAAGCATCATCCCTCCCTGCTCTAGCTGAGCTCTTAACAGTTGCCTTCTAGGATGCTTCTCTAGGTGGGCAGGCAGCACTGGGGATGAGGGTCAACTTGGCTCACCTTCCTCTCCCTTGGAACAGGGAAGCACAAAGGTGTTTGTGTGTGCGTGTGTGTGTGTGTGTGTGTGTGTTCTGTTCTTCAGTCTCAACCTCCTCTCATAGGACTGCACCCTATACCTCAGGAGAAGAGAGCCTTGAAAGCCTGGGAAGCAGTGTCTTTGTTCATGTTCAGGCTTGGCACATAGTAGCATCCTGTCTCTGCAACTGTAGCCCTTGTTGCAGCTCTAGTTCAGCTGCATGGGAAATGCACACCTGGTTCAGTCCTAAGGGAGGTTTTGGTATGTTTTCTTGAAACAGAATGACTTTTTCTCTCTGCAACTGCACCATCCTTAGTCAGTGCAAGGGAAAGTAGCCAGTGTCTGCCATGTCTGGTAGAGAAAGACAGGATGCGACCATCAGCTGGTGGGACAGACTATTGGCACCCCTCTATGAAACCACAAATGGCCACATGTCTGATAGCAGAAATGGCTCCTATTTTCTAGAGTATAACCCTGGGCCAACCTGAGCTCAGCTCTGCACGCTGGCATCTCGGTACCCTCAGTCTGTTTTGTGGGTATCAGACTGTTGTCTCTTCACGATCCCTAGTAGCAGGATGATCACATGCCCTCGTTCCTCCCTAGAGAAAACAGTCACCTGAGGCTTGGAGGTTGGGGCCTGGGAATGTTCTGGTCACTCTCACCTCATTATAGTGATCAGGTCAAGTCACAGCCAGCTCAGGTTCTGAGAGGAACCATAGGAGGGGTGGTCCACAGGAGGGAGGGGAGCTGGTAGGCAGCCATTTCAACATATCCTGTTCTCGTGCCTCCCGAGGACAGCATCCATGTGACAGGTATGAGAGCTCACAACTATCTGTAACTCCAGGGAGGTTCTATGCTTCTGGTCTTTTTTTTTTTTTTTTTTTGGTTTGGTTTTTCGAGACAGCGTTTCTCTGTATAGCCCTGGCTGTCCTGGAACTCACTCTGTAGACCAGGCTAGCCTTGAACTCTCGAACTCAGAAATCCGCCTGCCTCTGCCTCCCAAGTGCTGGGATTAAAGGCGTGCGCCACCATCGCCCGGCTATATGCTTCTGGCCTTAAACATACCTGAACGCCAGTACCCATGTGCACACACTCACACAGAAATGTATATACTGTTATTTAGGAAGTAAGTAGCCACATCAGTCTGAGCACCCATGTGGAATCAGAGGGCAACTGGGGAGGGGGGAGCATATGTCAGTCTTCTGCTTTCACCATGTGGGTCTCAGGTCTCCAGGCTTGGTGACATACTCCTTTATCTGCTGAGCCATCATGGCCACCCTCAATTCATTTTCTTACTCTACAGTCAGGCTGTGCGTATGCAAAAGGTCATCCTACCAGCGAATCCAGGACAGTAGCCTCTATGGCCAATTTGTAGCTGTTCTTGGATTTTTATGGATGAATTCTGCTGAGCTTCCAGCTCTGCTCTCCATTCTGGCTCCAGATACATGGCCCAGACCAGGACTGAAGCAGCACGTGGCACATTGTATTTTTGTTCATCAGATGGACTGGAGAAGCTTCTGAGCCACACAGATCACCCCTGAGCTCATGCTTTTCAAGCTCAGATAAGCAAAATCTGGATATTCCTGAGGTTGCCTTCAGGGCCAGCCCAGTCAGTCATTTTCCCTAGAGACACCAGGCTACTGGGTAAGGGCCAGCACAGTTGCCAAAAGGATGGACGTTGGACATCACTGGCCACCCAGCTGTTGAAGCTGAGGTCAGGTAGCCAGACCCCAAGACAACATCCTGGGCCTGCATTACCACCTCTGACTTGTGAGGCCCCCTTCCCTGAAGCAGGCCTTGCCATGCATCCAAGAGGGACGTAAAGGCAGGAGAGGGATTCTGAGTAACTCTGTCTCACCCCTCAATGCTTGGTTCCCAGCCCTTCTTTCCCTGCGGTGACACTGTGGAATGTTGTGGTATTGGTTTTTAGGGAGGGCCCAGCAGGGATTTGTGGGCTCAAGGGTATGACCTGGGTGTGCACATGTATTTGTGTATACAAGGTTATGTGACTATGAGGCAGACTGAGTGAGTATGGAAATGCCCACTTTATGCAGCTGGGACAGGTTGGGGCCAGGTCTCTGGGTGCCTGCAGATGTATGTGTACAGCAGTGGGCGTGTCTGCAAGAAGCAGTTTAGGTGGAGACATTGGTGTGACCCAATCTTCTCCTCACAGTCCGCCACCCTCAGGGGCCAGTTGGGGGACATCACGGCTCTGGCATCTGGGGCTTCCTCAGAGCTCCTTGAATCTTCACCCTAAGTTTCCTTTCTTTACGTCTCCCATCTCCTGGCTGTGGTTTGGGCTGCACTGCAAACATCCTGCTTTTGCGTATGGTCTTTCTCGGCCTGCACGCTGTTCCCTTCCAATGCTGTTTCCAGGTCTACCCTGACCTCCAAGGTCTAGCCAACCTGCTGCCCAGCATTCCTTGCTCCCCTGCTTTCCCCCGGTATCTTCTGCTCTCAGAGACCCAGATTTTCCTGGTGACAGGTAGGAGGCTCATCCCTCCTATCCCAGGATAGCCTGGAGTCCGAGGCTGGCATGTAGCAGTCCCTCGGAATTGACCTGGCGGCTAAAGCCCTGGCTCAGAGTCTAGAACTTGGGCTGGAGTTCTAGCTCTGCTACTCAGATATCCAACAGTCTCTCCCTGTCTCACTTGTCACCTAATGGGGGCTTTGGGGCTGCTCAGGAAAGCACAGGGTCAGAGTGCCCTGGTTGGAATTGGAGGTAGAGAAGGGGCCTGAGTTTCTTGTGGGGTATGAATGGTACTGTCATCCCAGGTCATGTTCTGGCAGCACATAACAACCATGGCCCACCGAGGGTGCTTTCCAGTGAAGAGGCCTCCCTCACCAAGGGGCTGCCACTTTTCTCTAGGCTCTTTCCTGCTACAAGCCTCCCACAGACCCTTCTGGTCAGAGGTATTCCTCAAAAAGAAGACAGAAGCCAGCCAGGGAAGGCGCCTGAGGCTCCTGGCCATTTGGCAGGGTTTGTGGCGCTTCTGCGGTATATATGTGCCAGGCTGTGCTGGGTGCAACCAAAGTCAGCAAAGATCCCTGCCCTCCCAGCAGGGAGATAAGCAGGTGAGGCCACACGAAAATAGTGAATTATCTGCAATACTTGCAGGTGAAAAGTCCATGGAGGGGGAGAAGAAGTGGGAGGGGAGAAGGCAGAGGAGGAGAAGGGTAGACAGGGGCCCCAGGAAGGCTGTGCTTGGCAGAATGATGGAAGGCTGGGGTTTGAGCAGTGGCTCAATAGGCCTAGATATCTGAGGGAGGATCAGCCTAGGGTGGTCCCTGAGATGCTGAAGAGCCCAGGATTCCTAAAAGTGTGTCCCAACTCCTTTGATAATTTGACAATAGTCTTGAACCCTTCCCAGGAACACATACACTGAGCATGCCCAATTCACACCCATGTGTTCATGCACATGCTGACATATGTTTACAAGCACACATGCTCCTAAGCCTTTTGGAATATTCCTGGATACCTTGCAATAATGGATCCCTGTCTATTCATTCCCCCAGGCTTGACTAGAGTGGAAACTGAGGCTTGCAGAGAAGAGACTTGTTTAGGGTCACCCAGGTGGCCAACTAGTTCTCGAACTAGATCTTGGGAAGGTCTCTGGGAGTTAGAAAGCTCTTCAGAGGCCTTCAGAAAGATGGGATATCTGGGCTAGGTCCTGAAGGATGAGTAAGAAACCCTCACCTGTAGACCCAGAGGCCAGGTGAGCTGACCCAGGGAGGGGAATGCAGCTGCCTAGCAGGAAAAGCCAAAGCTTGGCTAACAGACCTAGCAATTGTTCCTGGAGCCAAACCAGCTCTAGAAAGAAAGAGCCTGTAAGGTGACACCGTGCAACATGC